GCACACCTTTCCTAATTTTAAATAATTAACCATTGGAAGTGTGTAATTAAACTTCCTCCTTTTACAATGAAAAAATTAAAGAACACATTGGTTAAATGGATTTTGCTTAAAGTAGTGTGTTTGGTCTAATTAGTTAGTCTCAAAATTGCTCCTAAATCTCTCCTAATTCTGGTTTAGTTGCATTTAGTGTGCTTTGCTTTTTGGGTTTGTTAACCTTGAATCCAACTTTTAGAACTTTTCAAAATTCAGATTAATACATGGTAAAAAAGGACTCCATTTTCAACAGTAAGTATATGAAACTTTTAACTTGTGTGAATCAAGCTTAAGTTAGTTGCCTATAATACCACTGATCATTTATTCTTAGGAGTCCTGGTGTGGTGCTATAAACTCAGCGCTGGACTACTAACCAGAGATTAGTGGTTCAAACCCACCAGCCTCTCCATGGAAACCCTATACAGAATCTCTATAATTCAGAACTGACTCAACGGCACTGAACAACAACAACCACACCATTTATTTTTATGTATTGCAGGCTTTGCTGAAAATGGATTGTCAAGGGTTAGTAGCACGCCTCACCAAAGAGGTTATTATTCTAACTTCTGCTGTCAAGCTTGGGAAAGGTTGGAGGGAAGTAGCTGAAAAGTTAGTAAGACTCACAAAGCACCAGATGGAAGCATATGAAATTCCTCACCGAGGAGAAGCTGGGACCGTTGCTGTTGAGGTAAGATTTTATTTTTTCTTAACTTTTTACTATGAATTGAATAAAAGTTTACAGAGCAGATCATCAGTTTTACATTCAACAAATCATATACTTTGTTTCATTATAATGATTATAATTCCCTAATATGTACCAAGTCCTGGTGTGGCGCTGTGGGTTAATGAGCCAGACTGCAAAGCCATTTGAACTGCAAGGTTGACAGTTCAAGCTCACCAGCTGCTCCTCGGAAACCCTATACAGGATCACTAGGGGTCAGAACTGACTCTAAGGCACTTCACAATATGTACCAATAGTTAACAGTATTTACCTCTATTCAGGTTAACTTTTGCATTCCATCCTGTGTCTTCACTAACTTCATTTTTCTCTCCCAACCTCCCTTGTGGCATTTACTGCCTACCCTGTCACCCATGTTAACATGTGTCTACCTCCCAGCCCTTGTAACCACAATAGAGCATGCATAATGTTCCTTTCCCTCCCACCTCTAGTAATCATTATAGAATATTTTTTTATCAAAATAAATTTTGCTGATAAATAGAAATTAAAGCAATTTTTAATGACCAGATCAACTTTATTCTCTTTGGACTGAGAACCAACAACAGCAGACAACAACTTGAGATTACATGACACCACCAGAACTCAATCCCGATAAAGAAGTATTTAAAGTTAAACAAATTTACCAACTTAAAATTAAAAACCAGAGATGTCAAAGTATAATGAAGTCAAGTACCAAGTAAAAAGAGGGAATAGTGTAAATACAGAACTTTCAAATGGCAAGAAAGTCAAGTAGATTTCAAGATAAAACAGAACTGTTTTAAGCAGGGCAAAAATTGATAAATTACAGGGTTAACACACTTTTCCTGGTTTTAAACCATTCAGTGTCCCCTTGTTCTGTTTGAATGACTGCGTTTGGTCTATGTACAGGTTCCTCATGAACACAATTAAGTTTTCCAGAATACTCGTTCTTTGCAATATTTCCATAGCTTGTTGTGATCCACACAGTCAACAGTTTTTGCATGGTTAATAAAGCAAAGGTAAACATATTTCTGGTATTCTCTGCTTTCAATTAAGATCCGTCTGACTTGATATCCCTTGATTTACATCCTCATCTGAATCCGGCTTGAACATATGGCAGCTCCCTGTCAATGCACTGTTGTAACCATTTTTCAAGTATCTTCAGCAAAATTTTACTTGCATGTGATCTTAATGATACTGTCTGATGATTTTTGCTTTACATTTGCTCACCTCTATTTGAAATGGTCACACATATGGATCTCTTCCAATCAGTTGGCCACGTAGCTGTTGTCCAAATTTCTTGATATAGATAAGTGAATGCATACTGTGCTGCATCCGTTTGTTGAACGATTTCAATTAGTATTCCATCAATTCTTGGTGCCTTGTTCTTTGCCAATGACTTAAGTGCACCGTGGACTTCTTCCTTCAGTATCATTGACTCTTGATCATATGCTACCTCTTGAAATGGTTGAACAGCGACCATTTCTTTTGGCTGCAGTAATTCTGTGTATTCCTTTCATTTTCTTTTGATACTTCCTGCATCATTCAAAAATTTCCCCATAGAATCCTTCATTATTTCAAGTTGCGGCTTGAATTATTTCTTAAGTTCTTTTAGCTTGAGAAATGCTGAGCATGTTCTTCCCTTTTGGTTTTCTTACTACAGGTCTTTGCACATTTCATTTTATTCTTGACTGCCTTCTCGAGTTATCCTCTGAAATTTTTGTTCAGCCCCTTTCCCTACTCATTTCTTCCATTTGATTTAGCATCTCTATGCTAGAGAGCAAGTTCAGAGTTCGTTCTGACCTCTATTTTTATCGTTTCCTTATTCCTTGTATTCTCAATAACCTTTTTCTTTCTTCGTGTCTAATGTTCTTGATGACGTTCCACAACTTTTCTGATCTTCAGTCATTAGTATCTAATGCATCAAATCTGTTTTTCAGATGATCTCGAAATTCACATGGGATATGTACATGGTCAGCTTATGGCTTTTGTTGACTATTTTAATTTTCTTCAGCTTCAGTCTGAACTTGCATAGGAGCAATTGATGATCTATTCCACAGTCTGTCCTTGTCTTGCTTTTGCCAGTGACATCTCTTCCACAGTTGTTGTTGTTGTTATGTGTCTTGGAGTTGGTTCCAACTCATAGCGACCCTGTACAGGGTTTCTGAGGCTGTAAGTCTTTACGGGAGCAGAAATCCTCATCTTTCTCCCATGGAGTGGCTGATAGTTTCGAACTGCTGACCTTGAGGTTCGCAGCCTGATTTGTAACCACTATGCTTAGTCAGTTTTATTTATGCGTATGCCATCTGGTTACGTTCATGTGTATAGTCTTCTTTTTTATGTTGCTTTAAAAGGGTATTTGTAATGAAGAAGTCACTGGTCTTGCAAAAATTCTATCACACAATCTCCATTATTGTTTCTATCACCAAGACCATATTTTCTAACTACTGATCCTTCTGCTTTGCTTCCAACCTTTGCATCCCAATTGCCAGTAATTATCAGTACATTTTGATTGCATATTTGATCAATTTCATACTGAAGAAGTTGATAGAATTCTTCAATTTCATTATCACTGGCTGTAATGGTTGTTACATAAATTTGAATAATAATGGCACTAACCGTTCTTCCAGAAAGCCTGGATATTTTTATTTGTATAGTTCTGAGTTTTGCTACACATTTTCTCCCACTCTATCTGGGCCCTTCTACTGTGATCCCTTTCAAATCAGTTAGTAGTGGCAACTCGTTACCATCTAGTTCTTCTGATCTCAGAGTCGTGATGACTGGTGTTCACCTGCTCTGTTTGTCCATTTCTATGGTTGATCCTAAGTATCTTCAGTTTTCATTACTCTTCTTTATTCTGCACATAGAGAGACTAATTGTTGCACCTTAGGTGGCTACTCATAAGCTTTTAAGATCCTGTTCAATACTCACCAAAGTGGGATGTAGAACACTGGTTTTGGGTACTATATTATTGACTGTGGTGTCCCTCCAGACCCAGGAAATCAAGGGCTTAAGATGTTTTATAAAAATCTAAGAAATATTCTTCATTTTACCCCCTGTATGTTCTACCACATTCACAAGTGTGTTTGCAGCAAAAGAAAATACCCCTGTATCTACATCCTCTTCAAACCCTTCTATGTTTGTAGGTATCCTCACACTCTCCTTCCCATATCCTTTCCGTCTATGTGTCTTCCCATGTATATACCAGCAGAACACTGATATAAGATTTTTGCTTGTCTAATTTGGTAGTGAAAAGTTACAGATAACAGTAACCTGTAGTCCTGATGTGATGTTGTAATATAAGCTCTAGACAGCTAACCACCAGTCACAGCAAAATCACAGATCAAGTAAAGCAAATGTAATGTGCTACCAGTGTACATAGAATACTTGAGGGAGTGTCTTAGAGGATCCACTCACTCAAATCACTGCCCCTGTTAACCCGTTGCTGTTACCTGAGATAAGCATATGTCAATCTTCAAACGCATTGACACCTTTCAAAATATGTTTATGTTTCTAGCATGACCTTTGATAAAATGAATTTTATAACAAAATCAGCAAGCTCACTAGTTAATAGGCAGGGCTAGGACTATAGAGACTTGAGCAAAAAAACGATAAATTTTTAAGGCAGAAGATGAGGCCAGGTCAGTAAGGGAGGAGGATATAGTAAAGGTGCTTGATGACAGAAAACATAAAAAGCTTGACCAGTATAGGATTCCTGGAAATGGGGGATCGAGATACCTAAGAGCTTAATGATTTCCTTCAGAATTTTGCTTGCAATAAAAATGGAAACATCAAACACGGAATAACAGCACATAATACAAATTAAATATTTGCATTGATATTAAAGCCAATCTTTACGTTTAGTCTCAAGTTAGTTGGGTGTTTTCTTCTGATTGTCATATAAAAATGTGAGTCAATTTTTATCTTTAAAACTATTCCAGTGATGAGCACATGTAACATGTTTTTAACCCTTCTGTTAAATGAGTGTAGATATTTTCAAAGTATTTTAGTTTAGGAAAAGCTTCCTTCTCTGGCTAGAAGATGACTTAGTAGTTGGGAATGCTTTCTAATTACTTTTTGACAATTGTTTTAAAGCATTGTCAAGTAGGTTCTGAACCACAGAGAACCCTGTAAGGGTTTCTGAGGAGTGATTGGTGGGTTTGAACTCCAACCTGGTAGACCAGTGCTGATTTTACAGTTCCATACCAAAGCTAGTTATTCATATTTTGAGATTTTTTTTTTTCTTTCTTACTTAAAGCAACTACATCAGGAGGAGCCAGAGAAGGCAGCCTTTCCATGAAGAGTACTGAGGCCATCAAATCAATGCAAGTCTGCATAGGCACTTTCTGTGATCCAAGAACTTGGTTTTCCAGCCAGGGCTCCTTTTAAACATGTTTTAGCCGAGAGCAGCCAAAGATTGAAGACATACTTTTCCCTCCTAGATATCATTTATCTCCAAAAATTTATGAGTGTACCACAACACACAAATCAGCATAACATGAAAGAGTTGTAATGGACTCACAGTGAACTCAATGTGTACTAAATAAGTTGAAAGATGACAGAAGTTTAAAAAGGAAAATGAGCAATAGTATCATGAATATGATGTTCTGACTCAGAGATTTCCGTTAACTGATTAAAAACTTGTCTAATTAAAATCAGAACTTCTAATTTTTTTTTTAAATACGGTTCTGATTTTTGAAAGGTTTTGTTCAGAGAGTTTTTTATTCTGTCAGCTGTTTTAAGCATCTGGCTTCTCTCTAGTTGTGGTTGTTTATAGATAGTTTGTCTTTCCCCAAATCTCGATGGAGGTAAACAAACAGAGTATTCTTCCATTATTTACTTTTGCATAGTACAAATCACAAATGACTAAATCTATGCCTGAAACTGATAAATACTCATAAGCAAAACGGAAAGCCCCTAGGTGTCATTCTAGGGCTATTCTTGTAATTAATACTAAGTCACCCTTCTGATTCATTCTATTAAATACTAAA